GATGATTGACAAGCAGGTGTCCCCATGCACTTGTCTCTGGTAGGTGAAGAGGCAAACTTTGGAAGGAATTCACAAGGGCATATTTTAAAGGTCTAACAGCCTATATTTTCATGATCTATTTTGCTGCATATTTTGTGATTTTAATTTTTTGATGGAATTCTCTTGAGAACTTCTCTCACCAAAGAGTACTTGCCCTGGATCTTGGTATCCAGGGAATTCTCCTTTGATATTTATTTATTTTCCCTTGCCACCAACAGGCTCTGTCCAGGTAAAGTCAACAGGATGCCCTCCATATGTTATTGAACTGTCAATCAGACCCAGCCCACATGGCCAAATGTCAGGGATGGTGAGAACTGAGATTTAAAATGTTCACAATGTTGTTGGGAAGATCCACATCATGCATCAAAAGTACATCCAGTGTTCGTTTAAACTGCACCTGTAACAAACTATGTGTAGTCCAAAAACAGCTGGAGGCCCAAGGTTGGGAAACACTGGTTTAGAGCAGTACATGTGAAAAGGATCTAGGAGTCTTGGTTGACCACAAACTTGACATGAGCCAACAGTGTGACGCGGCAGCTAAAAAAGCCAATGCAATTCTAGGCTGCATCAATAGGAGTATAGCATCTAGATCAAGGGAAGTAATAGTGCCACTGTATTCTGCTCTGGTCAGACCTCACCTGGAGTACTGTGTCCAGTTCTGGGCACCACAATTCAAGAAGGACACTGACAAACTGGAACGTGTCCAGAGGAGGGCAACCAAAATGGTCAAAGGCCTGGAAACGATGCCTTATGAGGAACGGCTAAGGGAGCTGGGCATGTTTAGCCTGGAGAAGAGGAGGTTAAGGGGTGATATGATAGCCATGTTCAAATATATAAAGGGATGTCACATAGAGGAGGGAGAAGGTTGTTTTTCTGCTGCTCCAGAGAAGCGGACACGGAGCAATGGATCCAACAAACTATAGTTCCCAGGATCTTTGGGGGAAATGATGTGCTTTAAGACTTTAAAGCACATCATTTCCCCCAAAGAATCCTGGGAACTATAGTTTGTTACAGGTGCAGGGAGTTGTAGCTGTGTGAAACACACATGTCCTTCAGATTTCAGCCTTCTCACTGTTAATAACTGTAAAGTCTGTTCAACCAAACAACTATTATTATCATCACCATTATTTTACAACCAAAAGTGGACACTGATGTACCATACGCAATATCAAAATAATCAACAAAGGAGCAATACACAGCTTAACAATATATTTTGCTTTGTTAGAGGATGGCATAAGATAGGTACCAGAATTGGCCAAATTGGGAATCATTCTGACAAGTAACACTGAAGAGGGAACCTTATCTAAGGAAAAACCAAGAACAAAGAGATTGCCAAATTCCCCCCCCCCCATATGAACTCATACTACTTGGAGACATGGGTTTCTATCTAACTGCTAAACAGTGGTACATCGGGTTAAGAACTTAATTCGTCTGTTCTTAACCTGAAACTGTTCTTAACCTGAGGTACCACTTTAGCTAATAGGGCCTCCCACTGCCGCCGCGGGATTTCTGTTCTCATCCTGAAGCAAAGTTCTTAACCCGAGGTACTATTTCTGGGTTACGGAGTCTGTAATCTGAAGCGTCTGTAACCTGAAGTGACTGTAACCTGAGGTACCACTGTACTTAGAGTAGACCTGTTAAAATTTATGGAACTGAGTTAGTCATGTCCATTAACTTCAGAGGTCTACCCTGAGCAGAACTAGCATTGCCAGCAACCCATGGTGTTCTGAAGGACCCCTTTGTATGAATATTGAAACCTCACCAAGTTCCCATTCTGCCCTGCCCCTTTGTACCTCTGTGTGATGAATTAATTTTTCTGAGATGGCTATTAATAAAAACCTTTTTGATACCAGGTGTCTGTGATAAGTTTACTTGCAGCCTTCTAGTCCTATGTGATTACCAGCCTGAGGGCCACCAGCAAAATAATTACTACTTGGGGTAGATGTTTCAGTCTTTTTTAAAAAAGACTACGTGAAATGCCAGCAAGGCTAAACTTTTCATCTGCAGCAACACTTACATACCAGGCCCGTTCCAGAGAGAAGGACTGCGTATGCAATATACCTTGAAAGCACATTTGAAGCACACAGCCTCCCCAAGAATTCTGGGCACTGTTGTTTGTTAAAGGTTTCTGGGAATTGTAACTCTGTGAGGGGTAAACTACAGTGCCCAGAATTCTTTGAGGCAAAGAATGTGCTCTGAATGTGCTTTGAAGGTACAGGGTGCATAGCTTGTGCATATGTTGTGACATCATAATAATAATAATAATAATAATAATAATAATAATAATTTATACCCCACCCTCCCCAGCCAGAGCCGGGCTCGGGGCAGCTAACAACAGTAAAATTACAGTAAAAACATAATAGGGGGGGGGAGAACCCAATTTAAAATACAGGTTAAAATGCAGCCTCATCAAAACCATAAGGGGAGGGAAACATAAGGGTCAGACTGAGTCCAAACCAAAGGCCAGGCAGAACAGCTCTGTCTTGCAGGCCCTGTGGAAAGATGTCAAGTCCCTCAGGACCCTAGTCTCTTGTGACAGAGCGTTCCACCAAGTCGGGGCCAGTACTGAAAAGCCCCTGGCCCTAGTTGCGACCAATCTAACGACCTTGTGACCTGGGACCTCCAAAATGTTGTCATTTGTGGACCTTAAGGTCCTCCGTGGGGCCTACCAGGAGAGGCAGCCCCATAGGTATGTGGGTCCTAGGCCGCAAAAGAAATCCCATTCTCAGGCTGCGTGCTTTGAATCTCAACCAGATGAAGAAAACCTCTGAAAGTGCCTTCCCCAGATCTTCCCACCCTGACACAAAATCCCTGGATCTGGTGCTGCTCATTGACCTGTTTGTCCTCTTCTCTATGTGAGCTAAGCACTCCCATCTGTAGCACTCTAGAACATTTTACACTTGAGTCCTTTTTAAAAGTGGATCACACAAGCAAGTGCTGCTGTCTGGGTAGGTCTTGGGGGGGGGGGGAGCAGTCCATTACCACCCCCTACCCCCACTGCAATGCAACGGAGCTAGCTTTTCACATTTTGAAGCAAGGCTGAAATCCTGCACACATTTAAATAGGGGCCAAGTCCCCTTTTACTCAGCAGAACTTACTTCTATGTAGATGTGCCAAAGATCATTCCCATCTAACAGCGCAAGCCTAGCCACATCTACTCAGAGGTCAGTCCTATTGAATTCAATGGGGCTTTTACCAACGATTGAAGAATGGAGGATGAAGTTAATGGACTATGCAGAATTAGATAAACTAACAGGAAGGATTCAAAACCGGTGAGACCAGAAATTCACGGAAGACTGGAGTAAATTTACGGACTATTTGAAAAGTAATTGTGAAGAACAGACGACGTTTGTAGGGTTGCAAGAAGTTTTGTGAGGAGTATTATTAGAAGTATTGTAAAAATGGACAAGGGGGAGGATTTGTTAAGAGATGTAAAGGCAATATAAAGTTAAGAAATGCATAAGAAGTGGTTAAAACGGTGGATCATCAGAGGTGCTGATGGAAGTCTAAAAAGATTGTATAAGTGATAAGTTTTGTGGTACATTTTATAATTTATATGTTAAAATTAATAAAAAATATTATATAAAAAAAAATTCAAAGGGGCTTACTCTCAAGTAGGATTGCGGCCAAAGTGAGATGTAGAGCATTGGACTGGGATGTGAGACCCACGTTCAAATCTGCACACAGCCTCAAAAGTGTCTGGCGACCCTTGTTTCTCACCCTGACCCACTTCACAGGGTTGTTGTGAGAATAAAATGGGGAGGGGCAGTGGCGCAGCGTGGGTTGTCAGCACCCGGGGCAAGGCAAGTAATTTGCGCCCCCTAACCCGTGGATTTTAGCACTGATTTTAGCACTGCGAGTGCGAGCGCCCCCCCAGATGTTGCGCCCGGTGCGGCTGGCCCCCCCTGCACCCCCACGCTACGCCACTGGGGAGGGGGAGAACCATGTATGCCACACCATATGAAGGACCTCATAAATCCAGAATCCAGCTGCACCACTCAGAGACCTTTCTAGCTCAGCAGTGACCTGATAAATAGGAAACTCACAAACAGGATCTGAGTGCAACACCAACTTAACCCACCTGTGACTTCCAGCAACCAATACTCAGAGGCATATTGCCTCCAACAGTAGCAGGGGTGACAACTTGAATAAAATATGGGGGTGGGGCAGGTAAGCCCTGCCCCACATAATTGATGGCATGATGCAGTGCACACACACCATTTGAATGGCAATGTTCATCAACTTTGGGGGCCCCGGACCCCTCAAATATTTTATTGGGTTGGGGGGCTGAAGGGACATTGGTCCCTAGGAGTTGGCTCCTAAGAACAGTGGAAGGGGAATCTAGGGTCTGTGGTTATCATCTGTAAAGTTACCTAGGTAAAGGGACCCCTGACCATTAGGTCCAGTTGTGACTGACTCTGGGGTTGCGGCGCTCATCTCGCTTTATTGGCCGAGGGAGCCGGCGTACAGCTTCTGGGTTATGTGGCCAGCAGGACTAAGCCGCTTCTGGTGAACCAGAGCAGCACACAGAAATGCTGTTTACCTTCCTGCCAGAGCGGTACCTATTTATCTACTTGCACTTTGACGTGCTTTGGAACTGCCAGGTTGGCAGGAGCTGGGACCGAGCAACGGGAGCTCACCCTGTCACGGGGATTCAAACCGCCAACCTTCTGATCAGCAAGTCCTAGGCTCTGTGGTTTAACCCACAGCGCCACCCGCGTCCGTAAAGTTACCTAACCCCCTTTTAAATCCACCCAAGCTGGTGATTATCACTGCTGTTTGGAACAAATTGCACAGCTTAACTCTGTGAGATCCTGAATTTTCCAGTGTTCAGCTCCATTGGTTCTCCCTCCCCCCAAGTTCTCCTAATAGGAGATGTGGAGAAGTAACACCCCCCCCCAACGCACACACAATTCTCTGGAAAGTCTACTGGAATCACTTCCACTTGTTCCTTGCAACTGCTGAGTAACGCAGACGATCCTAGAGCAAACTGGGGGGAAATGATCCCAATAATACCAAATAATAACGAATCGCTAATAATCAGGATGCAAGTGCTATTGTGGTAGGATAGATGGCCACCGCTCTGGAAACCCTGTTCAGGCGTGCAATCCTGGTCCAGGGTGCTCTCCTGCGTGCTGACACCCCGAAAATACCCCCTGCCAGATGGCAAACTGCTCCAGCCCAGCCGGACCGGCAGGGCAGCTGCAGTTCTCGCGTTTGAGGCAGCTCTGCCTTGCCTCCACCCAGCTGGGATGGAGAGAGAGAGACCGGTCCAAGGCTTGGGCTGCCGCGGAGCTGGTGCTCCTTATGCCCTTTCCAGGATGCTGAGCGCCTATTGAATCCCACAGGTTGCTGAGCATCCCTCCTTCCCCTCCCTCCCTGATTCCTTATCTCATGTCTCCTCTCTCTCTGTGGCTTTCTCTCACACACTGTCTCTCACACACAGAGCACAGAAGCGGGAAAAGGTTTCCTGTCGGCTTGCCATCGTCTAGACGGGTCCAGCCCGTTCTGGACCACTGAGCCCAGCAAGCGGAGCGAGCGTGCGCTCAGGAACCTGCAAAGTTGATCCGGCATCTCTCCCCGCGACACCTCCCCGTTTCCCGGCTCATCTCTCCTTCCAGACAAGGTAGGAAAGACGGGGAAGCAAAGCAGCGACTTTCTCTTCTTGATCTCTCCTTTTTTCTTTTTCTTTTTGGAGGGCGGGGGGGGGGCGAGGGGTGTTACAGATTGGCCTCTGCTGCGGTGCCAGGGTCTGCGTTCCTTCTGCGTGCCTGTCTGTTGACTGCACTTTTCTTCCCATAGCGCCGTACGTGTATTCCATGTCTAGTTAGTTGTGTATGTGTAGCTGGGCACTTCACCTTCCCTGTCTGAACATTTCTACAGGCTCTAGTAGCTCCTACTTAGAGGGGGGGGGAGAGAGAGAGAGAGAGAGAGAGATATTCTGCTTTCCAAAGCATCATTTTCCACCAGTCTCTTAAGGGATGTTAAGGGGAGGCAGAGTTGGGTGGAATTGAGTGGCAAAAGGCTGGGGCAGCACAGAACCCCCTTTGCTGGCTGAAAAGGGTGTGTGTGTGTGTGTGTGTGTGTGTTTGTGTGTGTGTGTGTGTGTGTGTGTGTGTGTGACAGCACCAGAGCCCCAGTTTCAAAAAACAAACAAACAACCCTTCCAAGGTGCCATTGAAGGTGCTGGATCCATCCAACCTCTACATTCAGACTTGTTTTGATGGTCGGTGTCTCTCTGGAGGATATAGGAATAAAGAGTTGCATGAGAAAATCACAGGCTCCCTCAAGCTGCCTGAATATCATCTCTAGATCTTCAACACGATCCATATAGCCTGCAGAGGCTTTCACCTCTTTCATTAATTACCCTCTCTATGGCTGCTAAGCTGCTAGATCATATGAAACATCATGAACTGTAATCCTCCCCTCTCTCCTCCCTCCCCTCTTTTCTTCTTCCCCACCATTGTTTCTGCCCTCTCTTCCCCTCTTGTTACATGCAGATTGTAAGCTGTGCAGGGCAGGGACCTGGTCTTATGTAGCTCTGGAAAGTTCCATGCACTTTGACTGCACTGTATCAGCACATTGTTATTTGTTAAAATAATCTTAAACCATGGGTGAGCAATGATTTTTGCAGTGCTTTCAAAATGGTTTCATCTATCGCAGCGGAGGGCTAGGGCTGAGAGTCAAGTGCTTTGCCCACCCCCAAAGTCTTCCCCCCACAAGCGCATGATGTTTTGGACCAGTTAGTAGTGAGAGAAGAGCGTTTTGGGCACATGTTTTGAAGCATAGCTTTAGTCTGTCGAATCACCTTTGCATTCCACCCAGGGGGGCTCAGGCACTGCATGATAAATACCGGTAGGTTCTGGAGCTAATTGCCGCTTGATTCAGATTAAGTCTCACTCTCAAACAGGATTGGCTGCATCCCCCCCCCATTTTTTCTTCTTCATTTTTTGAAATCGCAAGGTTACTATTAGACGCCGTTGGAGCTACTGCATCTACCCACCCATACCATTGTTGTGGAGAAATCAACACCATGACAGCTTAAATACATGATCGCAACTCTAGTGTGTGATACTCAGACTTGGTACAGTCCCTCCTGGGCTAGCAGCGTGTGTGAAATCTCAAGATTTGAATGTGCCATTGCTAAACCTTGGAGCTCTGTTTCACTCCCTGCACTTTTGAGAATTCCCCAGGGGTATTCAGTAGAAATCTCATGTCCTCACATCTTCCAAAGGACCTTGGAATTTACTATTTCACCACTTCCGAAAGCTTGAGGAAATTAACTGGAAATATTATATTCTTGCAACAAGTAAACTTAACATTCTTCTGGTGTGGTTGACTAATCACTCTAACAGACTTGTGTAATTTGAGGTAGGTCAGTATAGTTATCCCTGTACTGCAGATGGGAAGACTGAGGCCAGGCGAATAGGCAGTTACCTAAGGGTACTTCTTGAGTTTGTGGCAGAGGGAAGATCTGAACTGAGGACATCCTGGTTCACAGCTGAGTTTTGTACAGAGAGATCCTGTAGTCTTCATACTGGCCAACTGCATATTCCTGCATCACAGGGTGCTATATGATCCTCAGGGTCCCTTCCAACTCAACAATTCTATGATTCTTGACATGCTGGAGGGCCACTTATACTCATACTGGTGAAAGAGCACAGGAGATGGGGGCACAGAGGCCTTCTGCTCTGTTTAGACTCGAGTCTCTCATGGTGATGATTTGATGGTTGCAGTGGGGAGTATTGGGTCTTCTCTTCCCTGCCTAATTAGGTTTCCTCTCTTCCCCTACCCCGTAAGTGCGCCATTGTAGAGATTGGGAGATGGAAGGTACAAAGACCACATTCATACCACAAATTTAAAGCATTCTACCACATTAAGCAGTCATGGCTTCCCCTCAAAATACTGGGAAGTGCAGTTTGCTGAGGGAGCTGAGAGTTGTTTGGAGACCCCTATTCCCCCTCCCAGTGCTACAATTCCCCGAGTTCTCTGTGAAGACGGATTGATTGTTAAACCGCTCTGAAAACTGTAGCTGTATGAGGAGAATAGGGGTCTCTGTGCACCCATAACAAACTAGAGCTCCCAGAATTCCTTGGGGGAAGAAGCCATGACTGTCAAAAGTGGCATTATAGTGCTTTAAATATATGGCGTGAATATGGCCAAAGTCCAGAAGAAACCAACGTTAGTTGCAGTCCGTGATTCTGAATCAAAGTCCCTTCTAACAGCATTAAATCCACTGGACAATATATATATATATATATATATATATATATATATATATATGCAGGTTTTGGTGTCCTCGGGTGTCTTCCCGTGTAAAAGTTGGGGTGTCTAGGCGACGTTTCGACGAGGTCTCACTCGTCATCTTCAGGCTGGTGCTTTCGGCTTCTTGTTACTGGAACAGAGCAGGATCTCAGTGTTTGAGTTCCTATAAATACTGTTGAGGGGGTGTGGTGTATAGCCTCCAATGTTCTGGGCAGAGAGGAAGTTCCCAGGCTAGTGTGCCTTTTCTTCTTTTGTTCCTTAATTACTTGAGGGGTATCTTGAGTGATTTCTTGAGTGATATCCTGAGTACCACTTAGGTGGGTCATTAGGTGTGGATTAGTTGCTAAAGCCTTCGTGTCTTGACCTCTTGAACTTTGTGAAGAGTTTTTCTGAGAAGATGGCTGTACTGCATTTAGTTGTGCTCTGGCTTGGCTTCGTGTATAGGGGCGAGCTGTGGTTTTGTGTCCTGTGCCAGCCAGATCTGTGTAGGGATTGCAGGGGGGTGCAGCATCCGGAGGTGCTACCATGGTTTGGCTACTGGATGGTGTCTGTAATTTATCTGTGGAGAGGGTCTGGGTTTGGGTCTGGTGTGGTTGATTGGTGATGGCGTTCTGTGTGCCTCTGGATCTGGTGTCGGTTTTTGTGGGGAGGGCTAATTTCCAGATGTCTGGCAGGCGGGATGTGTCGTCACGCTTGTTCATGTTGTGAGGGTGTTTCTCTATCTCGATGGCTTCCATGATTATTCTCTTGTGGTGATGTTCCATGTTAGAGAGCAATTTGGAATCTGCAAAATTAATTTCGTGTCCTGTTTCTTTCATGTGTTGGAAAAGAGAGGAAGTTTTTTCTTCTTTTTTGACGGCATTCTTGTGTTCTGCGATACGTGCATTTATTCGTCTGTTTGTTTGTCCAATGTACGTGGCTGGGCAGACTTTGCAGGGTATTTCATAGACCCCTTGGTTTTCCAACTGGATTTTATCCTTGGGGTTTCTGAGGATATTGGCTATTTTTTGGTTGGTGCAAAAGGCTGTTTTGATATTGTGTTTATGGAGGATTTTGCTAATTTTATCTGTAGTGCCCTTGATATAAGGAAGGAGGGCCATGCCATTGTTTTCTTCTGTGTCTTGGTTTTTGGGGGGTGTTTCTTTTTGCATTAGCTTCGTAACCCTGTTTTGCTGGTATCCATTGGCGATTAACACATTGGAGAGATTCTGTAACTCAGTTGTCAAGTGGTCTTTGTCAGCCAGGCGTTTGGTTCTGGAGATGAGAGTCTTGGCTACGGAGTTTATTTGTGCAGGGTGGTGGTGTGATTGTGCATGTAAGTAGCGGTTGGTGTGTGTTTTTTTCCGGTAGATAGTGTGTCCTAGGGAGCCATCAGGTTTTTTGTAGATTAGGACGTCAAGGAAGGGAAGTTGGTTGTTGGCTTCTATTTCCATAGTGAATTGTATTTTGGGGTGTAGGCTGTTGAGATGTGTGAGGAAGCTATCTAGTTTTTCCTTCCCGTGTGGCCAAATTACAAAGGTGTCGTCAACATATCTGAGCCAAAGTTCACACATCTCAACAGCCTACACCCCAAAATACAATTCACTATGGAAATAGAAGCCAACAACCAACTTCCCTTCCTTGACGTCCTAATCTACAAAAAAACCTGATGGCTCCCTAGGACACACTATCTACCGGAAAAAAACACACACCAACCGCTACTTACATGCACAATCACACCACCACCCTGCACAAATAAACTCCGTAGCCAAGACTCTCATCTCCAGAACCAAACGCCTGGCTGACAAAGACCACTTGACAACTGAGTTACAGAATCTCTCCAATGTGTTAATCGCCAATGGATACCAGCAAAACAGGGTTACGAAGCTAATGCAAAAAGAAACACCCCCCAAAAACCAAGACACAGAAGAAAACAATGGCATGGCCCTCCTTCCTTATATCAAGGGCACTACAGATAAAATTAGCAAAATCCTCCATAAACACAATATCAAAACAGCCTTTTGCACCAACCAAAAAATAGCCAATATCCTCAGAAACCCCAAGGATAAAATCCAGTTGGAAAACCAAGGGGTCTATGAAATACCCTGCAAAGTCTGCCCAGCCACGTACATTGGACAAACAAACAGACGAATAAATGCACGTATCGCAGAACACAAGAATGCCGTCAAAAAAGAAGAAAAAACTTCCTCTCTTTTCCAACACATGAAAGAAACAGGACACGAAATTAATTTTGCAGATTCCAAATTGCTCTCTAACATGGAACATCACCACAAGAGAATAATCATGGAAGCCATCGAGATAGAGAAACACCCTCACAACATGAACAAGCGTGACGACACATCCCGCCTGCCAGACATCTGG